TGTTTCAGTATTTGTTGAAATGATAGGATCTGATGGTTCTGTTGATGTTGCTGGTGGTTGTATGACAAATGGATTTGCGATGATGAACCCATAAAGGTTCCTGAACTTGACATGCCTCTGCAGGGACTTCTTGGAAACATCAGTTTCTTGATGATATTGATTAAAATAATCATTATTATTATTGCTTTTTTTTACTAATGATTCTTCTTTATTATGATCATCATTATTAAAAGAATCTGAAGTTTCCAAGGTCGCAGATACTGCTGATCTGTGAACATCATCAACTAAGACTTTATTCATCTTGGAAACAGAAAGTTGCGATCGAATTTTTGCAAATTGCTCTAAAATTGTATCTAATTTAGCTAATAAAACTGATTTTTCTTCTTCTACAGTCTTTAATCTTTTTGATAAATGTATATTTTCTTCTTTAAGAACTGTGTCCTGTGCCTCTAAATCAGTCATTTGTTTTCTTTTTTTATCTCTTGATATTTGTGCTGCATGTCAATTTCAAGTATTCTATTATCAAAAAATCAATTAATGAATTATTTCGTTGATTAATTGATAATGGAATGATGATATCACACCTTTCACATTGTCTTTGTTCTATACCTTCAACCTTTCTCTTTTGACCACCAGTAGTTTTCTTTTTAGTTTCTTCAACTACTGATGATGATGAAAATGAAAATTGACTAATGGAAGTTAAATTACTCGAACAGTTTGATGTGATTTTTGAATTCAGAATAATGTTTTTAGTAAATGTCAGTTGAATTGGTTTTAAAGTGGTGGAAGTTGAAGAAAGTAATTTAATTTTTGAAGTTAAAGGAGCAAAGTCATCATTTATTTGTTATGATGGGAGACGAAATTGCAGAAGAGGAAGGAGGAATTATTTCTGAGGTCACCAAATCTTCACTCCAATTAGAGTAATCATTATTATGAGACAAAGGGATCTTGTAACCATTGGCATCATTGAAATGTTGGTTTGGTGAAGACATGGTGACCTATTACGACTTTTCTTTGTTATCACTGTCAATGCAGTTTGGGCCAGTTACAACAAGAATATTATTTTTAAAAAAAAAAATAGAGATAATAAAAGGAAATTTATGAAGATAAATTTATCCCATCAATATCATGTAACAGTAACTGTTTAATTTTTTTGATACATGTAAAATCCTCTGCCACTCTTTATGCCTAACCAACCAGCATCAACATATTTTTGTAATAAAATAGCTGGCCTAT